TCACATTAGATTTTTGTTAAAATGGTAAGAATTCAGTTTATACTTTTGTCTTTTTAAATATTATTTACAATAAAAGTGATGAAAATCTGAAACAACTAAACATATCCTTTATGACTATATAATATGATTGACGGCTCTGTGGTACAGTGGCTCAGTAATGAGTGATGGCGCTGAGGGTCGCGGGTTCGAATCCCGCACGGAAGAAGTATTTGTATAGCCTACATATAATTGTTCCGCGTCTGGATGTTTGTCCTTGTGCAATTTATGTATGTAAGCTGCCGCTAGGATACAGGAGAAAATACTAGTGTAGGGCTAACATTTTTTTTTAAATAATTAATAATAAAAAATAACTTTAAACTATAAAAATGAACAAATATAACAATAATACGATTTCAAGTTATCAAACATATAAAAAATAAAATATTTTGCCCGACAAACATAGTGGCCGTGTGTTCCAAGTACAATAAGGTAAAACATGGTATTCAAAGGAGCAAGTGTAAAAGGGACACCTTTATCAATGGACGGATCTAACAATAAGAAGCGTCGCCCAAAGGTGGATACTTACAACGGGGGAAGTGCAGTGGACATATTTCTCACGAACACAAACTGGACAAACTAGTTTGTTTAGTGTTTAGACAATCAGAAGGAGTTTATGCGAATCTTTTGACCGTATGGGTGATACGTGCTAACGGTTATTTAGCGAGGATTATTTACTGTACTCCACCAATTCTTTTACTTATAGCTAGTTTTGAAAATTACTTGACTTAGTTAGGTATTAATTTATAATGTTTTTAAAATAAACAAAACATTTTTGACTGTTCAAAATTTTGCCTTTAGATTTAATTTACTATTTCGAAAATCATACTGACAATTCTGATCACGGCGCCAACAGCGTTTGAAGCAATACCAGAAGACAACATATTTTAGTAGTTTGTTACTTATTAGAAACTTAACTTCCCCCCCCCCCCCCTCCTCTACCCAGCTTTATTGTGGCAAGGGGCTTAGTAGCCGCGGCTTGGCATCCACGGGGAACTAAAAGGAAGGAACATGGCTGGCCGAAAGTGGTCACTACGAGTGGGCTTGGCGAGCCCACATCGGATCTGTGTTGGTGAGCTGCGTCAAGAGGGATATCCTTTCGTCCTATCACCACAGCCGAGGTGAAATCGGGGGGAAGAGGTGTATTGGAATGGCAATGCACCACTCGCTTTATCCACCGCGACTCTGGCGGGGCCGCACCGTCGCGCGTCGATTCTGTGGTGGTGGGGCTGTGGAGGTATTGCGAGGTGCCACTATCTCTACCATCCGCGGCCGAAATTCGGTTGGCAGCGGAGCTATAGACCAGAATGACCAGATCCGCCACTGGGGTCACAGTAAGTGCTCGTTTTTCGTGGCTCCGTGGCCGCCACGTATCGGACTCAGGACTGTGTGCCCGAAATTGAGGCCGCGGAAGAAGGTCGTCTAGTGTTCTGGTGTGTCTTACCTAAGAGAGTGAGGGGGTAAGAGTTATCCTCTCCCGAGGGGATGCTACCATAGTGTAAATATATGCGAAAGTTTTCCCGTGGCTCTGCCGATATACGGTGAAGAAGAAAGAAGAAAAAGGTTTTAATCGGAGCGAGGCCGACATAACCCGTCCTTGCCCTCGATAAGCGGGTATACACTGGCATTTAACTATATTAAAAAAAAACACTTAGCTTACACTCCGAAATGGGTTGGCTCTATCTAGGAAGAACTGAATTACTGAATCGTACTTACAATCGTAAAATAAATTAAAGATATTTGAAGTAAAAATTATGTAAATATATCCACGTCCGTTAATTCAAATCATGTAACATTTGTTTTCAATTCAACTGATTCGTTTCAAACAAAAGTCATTAGGGACTTGGTCGTGACAAGGAGATAGCAAAGGGCCACGGCCCTCATATAACGGAATGCAACTGTCAGATAGCACAAACAATTATTGTAGAGATAAGCTTCCGTTATTTGTCTTCGTTCTTTTCATTCAATGTCGCTTTGATGATGGGAAAACCATCTAATCTAATACCAGTGCAAACTGCCAAATAAATTTTTTTTTTTTTTTTTTTATAGGATAAGGGTGACAAACGAGCACACAGTCCACCCGATGGCAAGTGGCTGCTGCGGCCCATACATCTATCCGCAATAAAGACTCAAGATGCAGATGCGTTGTCACCCGTGAGGACCAAGATGGAATGCCTCATCACCAGTAAAAAGGGCCCCCGGCCACCTGCACTCACCAAGCGAAACGCAGAGGTAAACTTACCTCTACTTCACGCTGGTTTTCTGTGAGGTCGTGGTACCACCCCGGTTCGAGCCGGCCCATCCGTGCGACAGCAAAAACTGCCGCGTGGCTCTACCACTGTACAAAAAAAAAAAAAAAAAAAACCAGTGCAAACTGCCAAATAAATATAAGTTAATAATTAATTAATAATAAACTAAAAAATACTACATACCCATTATATTTATTGTAGAAAGAAATAAACTTTGGAGAAAAATTTGTACCCCTAAGAGTGGATGAAGTGTATTCAGACGACATTGAAGTTGTGGAAGGAATATTACTTTTAACTATAATTTTTACATATTTAACTTTTACCTTTATTAAACAAAGATTGTAAAAAAAATTAAAAAGATTATTATAATACTAGCAGAGCCCGCGAATTCGTCCGCGTTGCTTACACACATCACTGAACACGTAATGCTTATAAGAGTCGTTGTTTCTTTAAACTTTAATAACTTTACATTAAATAAAGATATCGCATAAATTTTTTATTTAGATAAGGACCAAATGTCTAAGATATAAAACTAGAAAACCTAATTGAAATCTATCCGGTAGTTTTTCCGTGATGCGCGCACAACTGCTAAACCTCTATCATTTTATTTATAAAGACAAGATTATTTTATATTATATATAGAGATTAAGGAACTTATGGATTACAATAAACCCTGGGAATGGGTGATCACTACCAAGCTATTTCTAATTTATTTTGGGTTGTTATAATTTGCATAACGTATTATGTTTGTAAACCTAGTCCCGCTGGATTTCTTACTGGTACTTTCCAGGACAGAAGTAGATTCCGAACCAGTGGTGAATGAAACATAAGAATTATTTTCAAAAAGTATTAATATTTATAATCTATAATGAATAAAAAAGTTTCTGTTTCTGTTTTCACTAAAAAGCGTAAAAATCAACTTTATATAAAATGTAAAAGCAGACTTAAAAAGGAAAACTAAAAAGAATAAAATAATTTCACATTCTGAAGTCGTCGAAATATAAAGACTTTCAATTAATTTACTTTAGATTAAAATTAAATTTTTTGTCTTCAATAAATTTATAATTTCTTTTTGATGGATTACTTTTATCCGACGATTGACAAATCAGCCCTGAATTAATTAAACGTAAATGAAAGCTGTCCGAATTTAAATTAATATTAACGTACAATTAATACTATACAAGCCATTAACATTTCTTTTTTCAGTAATAAAAAATTACGGCCTTACTTTATATTTCCCACTGGAAAACAGGCCTCCATTCATTTCTAATAGGATTTTGAAGCAATCCATCCGCCGTGCTGCCCAGTACGCAATGGCATTAAAAAGATACTGTATGGTTGGCATAACATATAATAGTATTGGCGGACTTTACATGTTCTCGAAATATTTCATTCCTCGGCCATGTAGGTTTTCTCAAGATGTTTCTTTCACCACCAAGCATAATTTTTAAATCGACACTTAAAATTACAATTAACAATTTCTTTGGTGCCAGCGGATCAAACTAGGGTACCTCACATATGTTTACATACATACATTTATGGCGATCGTTTAGCGTTTAGACCGTATAAAGTATATTTCTTTTTTTTTAAACTTAAATTTAGAATACATTTTCCAATACGCCAGGGTTATTTATAAACGTTGTGTATTGATCTATGATTAAGTTTGATTACTAGGTGGTAGGAGGTCCCTTTTTTCCTAAAAGACGGTCTGGGTAGTTACTACTCTCTGAACTGATTCTACCACCAAACAGCAATACGTGCACAACTGAACGATATATCAGTATGGAGAGCCAGTATAATTCAGGCTGCGAGGCATTCTATCTTAGTCCTCAGAGTTGGCAACACAACTGTTGATATACCTATAGTGAGTGCGTTTGTCACTTCAATTTTATAAAAATATATTACAATACTTCTTCGTAGTGCGGTGTTGTTGTTTCTATAAAATTTGTACTACTTGAGTATTGCGTATGCTCAAGAAATTGTATTATTTTTAACCGTCTTCAAAAAGGTGGAGGTACTCTATTCGACTGTACTTTTTTTCTTTTTTTATGTGTCCTCATTATCTTTTTTCTACGTGAACAGATTTTGTTGACTCCTTTTTATTTGAATGCTCGTGTTGCTGGCTGAATTTGATCAAGGCCTGACAAATAGTTTTCGAATTATTCTTAGTAATTTATATTGAAGTCGCTTGTAAAAAAAAAAACTATTTGTATGATTTTAATTTCTTTAAATTTCTACGTGGTAGAGCCATGCTGCAGCTATATTATGGTTGTAGCACGAATGGGTCGCTCGACCGGGGAAGGACCACGCTCTCACAGAAAACCAGCGTAAAATAGCAGCTTAACGCTGCTGTGTTTCGTAAAGTGAGTGTAGAGAACCGGAGACCCTTTTTACTGGCAAAGAGGCATTCCATCTTAGTCCTCACGGGTGACAACGCATCTGCATCTTGAGTCTTTATTGAGGATAGATGTAGATGTCTATGTGTCACAGTAACCACAGGTGGACTGCGTACTCGTTTGTCACCCGATCCTATAAAAAAAAATTGATTTTTAAAAACTGTACCACTGTGGAATATTGTGGGCCTACGAATGTGCCTACGCATAAATGAAAGTGAATGTGTAATGATAATTTTATTAACGTCAAAGTAATACAATAATTAATAAATAACACTTAAGGTTAAGAAAATTTTTGTATTTAAATATATCACACTAAAAATTAACTATAATTAGGATTTCGAAGTATTGGCTGCAGAAAATATGCTTGGCCGGTAGTTCTGTCAACAACATGTCCTGTAGAAGGTTCTAAAAAGAGCCGAGGAGAGGTGGCGGCTGCAGTCAATTCCGGACGATTATGCTGCCTTATTCCAGAACCATCTTCATAAGGAACGTAATGGCTTGTTTCTAATTGGCGAGGTGCGAGATGACTGTCTGTATCTTGCGTTTCTCGCTCTTTATGGCCTACTACTAAAACGATTTGGTTCTTCTCTCTCGGTTGGTCAAATTCTTTTTGGCTATATTGTTCCTGTTGGGACGGTTGCGGGACATTTTGCTTACTATATTTTTCATAAGCTTTTTTGCTGTCTTTATATTCTGTTTCATATTTATCGACAGAATGTGGAGCAGGTAAATGTTCTCTATTTTTTATTTGTCTTTGAGGTCCTTGAGTTTGTTCTTCTATTTCTTTTCTCTGTACCTTTGATCTTGTATGTGCTCTTTTGGCTCTACCATTTTCTTCATACTTTACCGATTCTGGGCTATAATTTTTCTTTTGATAATTTGGTGAGTGATCGCTTGGTTCGTCATATGAATCATTATCTTCTTCCTCGTAATAAGCCCCATCATCTGAATTATCATAACCATCGTCGCCGTGATTCCCTGTATGCCCTGCGTGGTTTAAGTCCCAATAGTGTTCTCCATATCCTCCTTTTTTGTCACCCCAGCGAACCTTATAACACAAAAAACATTAGGTTAGGTGAACGCGACATAATTAGTATATTAATAGACTGATATTTTAAAATATTTTTTTGTCATGAAACAAACATTGTAATTTGAAAACCTTAATTAAATGTTAAAAGATAAGAATTTGAAGCTAAAAGAGATATGCGCGATAAAGTTAATAAAGTTAAAATAAGAAAAGTAGATGGTTAATTAATGTCATTATGGTTAATCCGAGAAAATTTAGTAAATAGTCATTCTGAAGACAGAAAACAAGAAGAAACAAGCAGAAGCATACTTTAGCAGAAAAAAGTCCTGTAGATGGCCGGGAGCTCTCGTGCCTCTCAGTGAAGTGACGTTCACTGCCCAAACGATGACCTTGATCGTAGTCCTCATGAGATGGCAAATGCCTATATCTTCAGTCAAGCCAAGCGAAGCGCGACAGAGAAAGAAACATAACACAGGTTAGACACAAAGCAAAACATAAAATCGTTACTTTTCCCATGTCCCTGTGATTCTTATAGTCTTTCCTCTCGTACCGCTGCTCCCACGTGTTTGGGTCCTCGCAAACATGACCGAATTCTATCTTGTATGGACTCAACTGTACTGAGAAAAAGTCCCTATAAAGTAAATCATTTGATATCATTCTCCATGTTTTCTATAAGAGTAACAATAAAATCAACGGTCAAAAATGTTCAGTATGAATACGAACGAAATTATTATCTAACCTTAGCTTTATAATGGTTATTAGATATTAGCTATACTTATAATGATTATTTAAATTCTTAAGCGCTTTCGATTAAGTAGGCATTGCCAATTATTTTTATCTACGAGTACGAACGGCATTGATTATTGATTAGTAAAATTACTTTCAATCAAATTTTGTTGTGATTAATATTAACACCAGTACTATAAAAGGATTAACCAGAAAACAATTTGATGAATTCATTATTATTTACAAATAATTTGACATATTGCTTATCACTATTGATTTAATTGATTTTGGACCTCCATCGCATGTTAGTAGTTTTAAGTAAAATCAGATTTCGCCCAAAAATATAATAAAAAGTTTATTAGATAAACAAAGATATTAGATGTAGCAGTTCAGTCATTTCTACAGATGAGAATAATTACATATCAATGACTTTTGAGTTATTGTGATGTTAGTTAGGTACTTTTATATGTAATTAACTATTAATTAGGAAAATTTTTCATAACTTTAGAAATGTTCGTAATTATAAGCGATTATGAAGGAAAATGAAAAAGGGCATTGATTTGAATCGTTAAACCATTGAATTGATGTTTTAATGTTCCAGAAATTATCGATTTTTAAAAAAATTCTTGTATACATAACTATTTTACTTTGTGCGAACAATTTTCTTTCAACTCAATCTTAAATTATACAATACAGAAACGATGACTCTATAACGGTACTTTGTGGGCTTGTGTCAAATAAACGTCTCTTTCTTTTTTCTTTTGATATTATTAGTTCTTGTCTATTTGTATTAATGATTTTTATTATTTTGTTAATTTACTATTCTTTTATTTTGTGTATTCGTAACATCGACGTAATAATATCTTAATAAGCATGAACACAAAGACGTTCATAGTTGAACCCAAAAATTAGTAATTACGTGAAGCTGTGCTAAGATGCTTATTGGTGATCTCAATCAGGTCTAAATAAAATAAGAATAAAACTATCCTATAAATTTTGAGCACATGCATATAAATAGTCAGCTTTTCGGCGTTCTACAGTAAATTTAAATTTCGAATTCGAATTTTGTAAATTTCGAAGAGTGTGCACAAGAATATTATAAGTTAATAATCCGATTAATGGGCATGTTTTCTAGTTGAAAGAAATAGAATTTTGTTTAGCTAAGTTACTACGTTTTACTACATTTGGCTTCATCGCCAACTAATATTAGATAGTAGTCAAACACTTATTGTAATGTTAAAAAAATTTTAACATTACAATAAGTGTTTCAAGACGGCTCTGTGGCGCAGTGGCTTAGCAATCAGTTGTTGCGCTGGGGGCCGCGGGTTCGAATCCCGCACGGAACAAGTATTTGTATGGCCTACAAATAATAGTTCCGGGTCTGGATGTTTGTCCTTGTGCAATTTATGTTTGTAAAATGCCTCCACGACACAGGAGAAAATCCTAGTGTGGGGGTAACGTTTTTTTTAAAGAATAAAAAAAAAATAACAATTTTGTAAAAACATTAGTAGGTATCTAACTGTTCTGAACATTTATAATGTTGCCAGGTGATATTAAAATTAATAATACTTACTGAAAGAATTTAGCTTGTTCTCCTACTGTAGCTGGATTTATCGATGGCGTTCTAACTGTGACACATCTTACTGCATTATATCCTGAGTGTATAATGAGAACCCACCAAAGCCATTTCTAAAAAGAATACAACGGTTAAATTATTTAACATTGAACCAAATTTTACAATTATATACACAACTACCATATACTTATATACTTTTTGGATATATGGATATAATATAACGAGTGTAGGTATTTTCCTATGTCTTGTATAAAAACATAATAGATTTCAAGGTCATTTTTGGAGAGGTTCTACAAATTACACCAACACCTAAAAAGCTGTAGTGTGAACGCAATGCGTAAAAATTTTAGTCAATTATGGTGTACTTAAGTAATCTTTGACGCAATAACGCTCAATTCTCTCCTTCTATCAGCTATATCAAAGAATGAAAAAAGATTATTCTTCACTATCGACCAACTACTAAATAAATAATCTTTTAACTATGATTAATGTATCAATGTATATAAATACGTAATCAATGAATTTTTAATTTGTATCGATGCTTTGTTGCATATTTGAGAAACAAAGTAGGTATCCACGCACTTTAATTCTTAATTGTTTTCAAAATTTTATCACATAGTATACTTAATAATATTTTTCATATTTTTGTTGTTGTTTAAGGAAGTTATGGTTAGTGCATCAACTATTATTTTTATTAGTATATCGAAAACATTTTCACATCTCATGATGGAATTTTATGATCAGGCTGTTTTATTTATATACTATAAATTCTAATTGGATTGACGTTTATCTTATAAGTTGTAATTCAAAGCCCCAATATCTCAATAAGCATAAGAGAATTTATATTTCGATAAATTTGCGCAACACTATGCACGTGGTAATTCAGCACTCAAAATTGTAATTAACGTTTTCGTTTAATAGCGAGTACTGTAAACGTAGGTACTGTAAACGTCGAGCACTTAGGCCTATTTAGTTTTATTTGTCGTGTATTTGATTTTCCATTACATAAATAAAAAATATATCTACGTGTATGCATGTGACAAAATTTTATTAAAATCTAATAAGGATTTCATCGTTATAACGAAATGTAAAAACTTTAGTACTGGCATAAAAAACCAATATAAAATAAAATATGAATCACGTCACGACGCCAAAAACAATCAGTCACTGACACTGAAAGTAAAACTGGTACGTCACTTTCCCTAAATTTCCACAAAGCATTGACACTTCTTGTAAAACAATGTGAATTAAGTAAATGAAAAGTACTGTGTTTAATTATATAAATAATATAAATTAATGACAAAAATCAATGGCTACCGTGATGTCTAGAAGACGTTGTGTCATCTTGAATTATTGACAGTGGGTGAGAGGGAGCGGAAACGGTAAGTTAATTTATAGGAACGGTAGAAATGGTGTCCAATCAATGACTATCAACAATGATGAAAGCGCTTCTCAAACTTATCTCACGTTTTTAAAGTTCCGATGATTTATTTGTCCAAAAGTATCGCGCCACTAGTAACTTATCAAAAACATACTAAGAGTTTTTGACAAAATAAAATTAAAATTAGGAACTATATTCTGTGGTATCCGTTTAAATTATAAGATAAAATGCGTAGTATGATCATTGAGTTATATGTACTAGGTACGTACTAGAGAAGCCATTCCGAACATTGACTATGTTCAACTGAACTGTACTGCAATCCGTACAAACTAAATATTGCGTAAATTGAAGATTTGTGAATTCCATAAAATAATAATTATTACATTTAATTTAAAAATATGTTTGTTTAGATTAAATTAAGATATTTTTAGAATAAATTCTTATATTTATTTTATATTAATATCTCATTTTATATCAAAGTCTTCGCGCGTGCGCGACTACTACTCCCGCGCATGCGCGAATACATAGAGTAGGACACAATTTTTGTTTGGAATGGCTTCTCTAGTACGTAGTACATATAACTCAATGAGTATGATAATGTATATATACATTTCGTATAGTTTCCATACAACATGTAAAAAGGTATTATAAAAAAACCATAACGTGGGTTAATTAAAGTTAGTTTTAAAACAGCTTCAAATAATTTTTCTTCTTCTTAATCAGCCTGCAAAGGTCCACTTCTACATATGGGCTCTCCTATTGCGTAGATTTGCGTTAATCGAGAAGCTTGATAAGCAGATAGGTGATCACAGTGTCAGACGTCTTGCATCATTGCTGGAGTAAACGAGATGGTTGTGTCACCATCTATCCGAAGATCATTCCGTTGTCAAGATTAGTCAGTTTCCCAAAGTCGCCTCTTGCTAACCAACGGCTAATTAATTGTGAGACAATAAATTAAAATTGTACCTAATATTCCAATTCCTTACCTACTTATTTTTGCAATTAAGTATCACTTTTGAAATATCAAGCTCCAAAGGGGCTTGAACTTATTTCTTCCACCGTCTTTTTAGATATAATATGGTGAAATCTAAAATACATGCGTGAATGTCGTGAAACACTCGGCTGGAACGAAGTTCCTATCGTAGTATATTATTATTGATGAACGTATTATATTATTAATTAAAAAATACAAATAAATGAATTACTAGCGTCTATTAAAATGAAGCGTTATTTAAAATAAAATAATATTTATTTCATGGCAAGGTAAGAGAAAGTGCGAGGGAGATGGATATTATTCCATCTCGCTTCCTTATAGCCGCCAAGGCCGCCTACACTACGTCAGAAGGAGTCGTAACGGAAAATCTTATGCCTCCTCTACACTACTCGCGAAATATATCGAAGTTGGACGCTTCGCCTCGTGCGACTTCCGATCGCAGTCGGTTTTTTGCGCCAGAGTCAAAGGACCTCGCGAAGTACCCCGAAGTTACACGAAGCGTCTCACTACACTACTCGACTTACGCCAGTTATGAATATTTTCTTTTATATATAAATATTAAATATGTAGCTTTCTGCATAATTATTTATTTAGTTAACGCATTGACATCGTACTGTTCACACAATTAGGTACCTATAGCAGCTGCCTCTTGAACGTCATTCATGTTAAGGGTGCGGGAGACTCAAGACAACTGAGCTCTTCGCGAAGTAGCACGAGTGTGTGGTCACGTTCTTCCGTTCTTCGAACTGCGATCGACTTCGACGAGCACTTCGTCAAAGTGTAGAGGAGGCATTACACTTTTTGTCGCCTATCCGCCATCCACTAAATCCGTACCGTCCGATAAAGAACTTCGTTCCAAAAATAGTTTTTACTGAACAAAACATGAAAAAATGAACTTAGTGATCGCCTGGTAAGTGAACATTGTAGTCTATGGACACGTGCAGTAATTTTAAACAAAGAAGTCTTCAGATTCGTTGATACAACTGAAGACTAAGTTGGAATGCCCCACAGCCAGTACCGTCTTTACCATAAGGGCACACGGGGGCCCCCCGAAAGGCCATATCGGCCATATTCGCTTACACTATGCAATCTTTTTTCTATTTTAGGAAAATATAACCCGACACAAAAAATTTTAGAGTAAATGAGGGCGTTGTTAGTGACTTTCTGGAAACCCTGAGCAGTGACAGCTACACATTGCCGAGTTTGACAGAAAAAGTGGCATTAACAGATTTCTTAGGTAGAAAATATGTAGTTCCGCGTTTCGCCGCCATCTAAACGTTTTTTCGAGCTGTACAGTCGCCTTACTCATAGCTTGGATTTTTTTATTTTTCGGCAATCTATGTAATCTATTTATATAATTACAGCTAAATAAATGTTGTTGATTAAATCGATAATAGTAAAAGACACGAATATAGGTTAGTAGCTTAGCGCACTTTCTATACAATGCATTATACAATGCACTACATAAATTCCCCGAAATTTCAAACTTGTACGGTTAAGTTTGGGGTATGATTTTGTTTTGTTTCATAGAAATCATTTAAAACTAGCTGTGCCCCGCGGTTTCACCCGCGGCATCACGCGTCGGAGGTGCGCGACATGACCTAGTTCAAGCATTTTATAATTGCAATTAAATATTTTATTTGATAGCAATGGATTGAATAATTGGCATAATTAGTGGACTACTTTTATCTGTCGGCATATTTTGAACAAAGTTTATCTTCATAACATTGTCTTGATGATGAAGTAACTTTCGTTCGTAAGGATAAGTAGGCCATGCCAAATAATAACGCTCATAAATCACTTTTTAATTTTCAATATTTTTTGTCACAAAATACCTAATTATGGCTTATGTATAAGAAATAGACATATGGTATCGCGGAATTTTTTTTAGACGGAGTAAAGATCTATATTTTTCTAGAACATTGTATTTAGGTATCCCTAACGATAACACCAGCGTACGCGGATAAATCATTTCGGGAGTGCTTTTTCTTCTGACTTGCTTAACAAATAATAATTGTTGGGGACAAGAGTGTTTCGCTCGGAAACCAAATTGATGGGGGATGACAAGAGAGTCACCGTCTGTGGGAAACAGATGGAGCCTCATGCGAGTAAGAATGACTCTTTCGAAGAGCTTGCCCATGGCCTTGAGGAGGCTAATGGCTATATATTTGCAATTATATAGCTTAATGCTAGATAGTCTATACTATTCCACATGAATCTGGCTATAATATACAAAAGAATTTTTCAAATCGGACTGGTAGTCCCAGAGATTAGCGCGTTTAAACAAACAAAAAAACAAAAAAAAACTCTTTCGCTTTATTATATTAGTATAGATAATGAAAAATGTATCTCCTGGATCCTGGTACGTAATGTAAAATTTTAACAGAAGAATTAGGCGATATTTAGATTCGAAAAGGGCCGTTATTTTCCAAAATAAAAATGGTGACTTCTCCGAAACTTCTGCAAGTTTTCCAGACTCAAGCGGTAAAAAAAAACTATATATTTAACTATAAATATTTTTACCCGTAAATTGATGAATCGTAATTCATTAGAAAGAAAATGGCTCCTTTATTCACCGTCGAAGAAATCTGTGTACTGCTGCCGTATATTTCATGCAACATTGGAAGCATATAAGTAACTTATTAATTGAGCATGACAACAGTTTATAGCACAGGCAATTAATGATGAATTATGTCGCAAGAAGCAAAAATACTGGAGGAGTTGACAATTAGTTACTGTCTCAATATACCTAATACAGAAGTTAATTATTGAAAGAATGTACTTAGAATAATTGTTGCAGCAGTGAAATTTTTAGCTTCTAGAGATCTTGTTTTTCGTGGTGTATTTGAAGAAACTGAAATCTCGAAAGAAACCACTGTCGTAATGGTAACCAATTCAAAACACCAACATAATTAAGTAATTAATACCTTTTTTAACTATAATAATTAATTAACTATAATAAATATAGCTACGACACATCTTCTCGTCAGACATACCTCAAAACCTGAAAACGAAATTGTACAACCAGTGCGTGTTGCCAGTGATGAGTTATGGAACTGAGACGTGGTCCTTCACTGCTGGCCGTATGAGGAAGCTCAAGGTCGCTCAGCGAGCTATGGAGAGGGCTATGCTCGGAGTTTCTCTGCGTGATAAACTTAGGAATGAGGATATCCGCAGTAGAACCAGAGTAACCAACATAGCCCAACGGATTAGTAAGCTGAAGTGGCAGTGAACCGGCCATATAGCTCGAATAACCGACAACCGATGGGGAAGAAAGGTTCTCGAGTGGCAGCCTCGTACCGGTAGGCGAAGTGTAGGGCGTCCCCCCACGAGATGGAGTGACGACCTGGTAAGACATGCAGGAAGTCGATGGATGCAGGTGGCTCAGGACCGTGCTTTGTGGCATTCTTTGGGGGAGGCCTATGTTCAGCAGTGGACTTGTGAAGGGCTGTAATGATGATGATGAATAAATATAAGATCATACAGCAGAAAAATGTTTTTGTCATTCACTTTTTTTACTTTCCAACAGAGCCCCAAATTCTTGTGTGCCCAAGGGCTAAGGCCTAAGACGGCGTTGCCCACAGCCTGTGGTTATACTGGCTCTCTGTACCATTTAGGGCAGAAATACCTAAGAGAATAGTACCTACCCAAACAGACTCATAGGCAGAAAGCAAAGGACAAAGAAGTCCTACCACATAAAACTTCAAATTAAATTATAATATACATTTATACCCCCTTCAGAAAATATTAAAGTCTAAGTAGTCTATTAAAGTTAAAAAAGTCACAAATGAATGTCTTTCAACTTGGGTACAGCAGTTCGTCAAGCAGGGATATTACGAGTAATCCCTCCAACTGAATCAAAGACAGTGTCATATCAATCAAAAAAAAAAGTGTCATGACAAAAATCAAAGTCATCAGCAGTGGACATTTTATGGATTAATGATGAGAGGAAAATAAAGACATAATATA